TTTCTATTCTATTTCTATTCTATTTCTATTCTATTTCTATTCTATTTCTATTCTATTTCTATTCTATTTCTATTTCTATTCTATTTCTATTCAATTTCTATTCTATTTCTATTTCTATTTCTATTCTATTTCTATTCTATTTCTATTTCTATTCTATTTCTATTCTATTTCTATTCCTATTTCTATTCTATTCCTATTCCTATTTCTATTCTATCCCTATTTCTATTCTATTCCTATTCTATTCTACTCTATTCTACTCTATTCTACTCTATTCTACTCTAATCTACTCTACTCTACTCTACTCTTATTTCTATTTCTATTTCTACATTTCTATTTCTTTTCTATCGATATGCCCTTCTAGGAGAGATGCCTTTGAGGATCCTCCCATCTTCTTCCCTGCGGAGAGACTGCCTTACCCGAGGGTATCTGAACGGGATGTGGGGCTTGTGATAGCCGACAGCCAGGAAAAACTTCCTCTTGATTGTTTTCATGGCCTTCAGCAAGCGGACGGCCTCCTCGGTGCTCTGGATATCTGGCAAAGTTCCCTCGGGCATCTCAGCCACCTCCACTGGGCAGATCAAGTCGGCGTGAAGCTTTCCGTCTTTGCCTTTGCAAACCTTGAAGGGAAAGAACAGCAGTCATAAAACAGATCTGGCCACTGGAAGGAGACCAGGGCAAACTCAAGAAGCCTCTAAGGAAGGTTGTAGGAGTCAGGAGAGAGAGACAGCCCTCTGGCTCCTACTAGCCTACTACTCGTTTCTCCAGCAGTGAAGTAATTCTCACCACTTCCTCAAATCAGTTGACAAAAAGCGTAAAGAAAAAAGACTTCATCTCTATTGATCGTCTGTATTTAGATTCTATTGTATACAAGTAATCTTTGAGAGTGGCGTGGTGGCCTAGAGGTGGAGCTCTGGCCTCGCAATCAGGAGGCTGTGAGTTCGATCCTAGGTAGAGGCAGGCATTTCTCTCTCTCTCTCTCTTGGCACGAGGAGAATAGATTGGCTGAACAAAACTCTGCTCTGGCAACAAGAAGGGCAGGCGGCCAGTAAACACCCAGCTCCATTCAACTACCCAGACTCCACCACCTCCAAGGGATGATGGGGCTGTTAAAAGAAGCGGATGATGATATACAGGTAATCTTCGACTTGAAATGGTTCATTTAGCGACCATTTGAAGTTGCAACAGAGCTGAAAAAAGTGACGCATGACTGTTTTTCATACAACCACTGCAATATCCTCATGGTCACGGGATCAAAATTTGGACGCTTTGCCACCGACTCGTTATTTATGACGGTTGCAGGGTCCCGGGGGGTCACACGATCCCCTTTTGCGACCTTCTGCTGGGCAAAGTTAATGGGGAAGACAGATTCGCTTAACGACCGTGCTGCTAACTTAGCAACGGCATTGATTTGCTCAACAACCGTGGCAAGAAATGTCTCAAACGGGGCAAAACTCACTTAACAAATGTCTCGCTTAGCAACAGGAACTTTGGGCTCAATTGTGGCCGTAAGTCGAGGACCGCCTGTGTTATCAGCGGTCACTCGTTGTCAACGACCGTAGCGCCCGCCTACCTTCGTGTTTTCGTATTTTTCGGAAGACGGGTGGAAAGCCGGAGCGGACCAGCTGAAGGGGAAATCGTCACTGTGGTTCGAGGAGATCCCTGGGGAGCAGAAAGGAGACACCCAGGTAAGGCTGGAGCCAGGCCTCGGATCGGAGCCCAAACGCTCTTGGGAAGCCCCGAGGAAGCTCACCTGGGTGGAAGACCTTCCCCACGGACAGGGTGACGTAGCCGTTCTCCTTGAAGTACTGCGGCAGCGTGGTGTAGTTTCCCGCGTGGCTCCGCCAATACGAGTTAAAGTCATACAGCCTGGTGGAATCAGGTCTGCGGCCTGTGAGGAAGGAGACCCTGCTTGGGGCACAGACAGCTTGCTGGAGACAAAAGAAGACAGAGAGAGAGAGGGAGGGAGGGAGGGAGGGAGAGAGAAGGAGAGGGGGAGAGAAAGAGAGAGATACAGAGAGAAAGACAGTGAAAGACAGAGAGAGGGAGGGAGGGAGGGAGACAGAGGGAGGAGGGAGAGAGAAAGACAGACAGAGACAGACAGAGGGAGAGGGAGAGACAGAGAGAGAGAAGGAGAGGGAGGGAGAAAAAGAGATACAGAGAGAAAGACAGTGAAAGACAGAGAGAGGGAGGGAGGGAGACAGAGAGAGGAGGGAGAGAGAAAGAGACAAACAGAGAGAGACAGAGAGAGAAAGACAGAGAGAGAGAAGGAGAGTGGGAGGGAGGGGGAGAAAAAGAGAGAGATACAGAGAGAAAGACAGTGAAAGACAGAGAGTGAGTGACAGAGAGACAAAGACAGAGAGAGAAGGAGAGAGGGATGGGGAGAGAGGGAGGGAGAAAGAAAGAGAGAGGGATAGAGAGAGAATGACAGAGAGGAGGGAGAGAGAAAGACAGAGAAAGAGAGGAGAGGGAGGGAGGCGGAGAGACAGATAGAGAGACAGAAAGATAGAGAGAGGGAGGAGAGAGAGGGGGAGGGAGAAAGAGAGAGGGAGGGAGGGAGGGAGAGGGAGAGGGAGAGGATATGGCTTAGCAATAAGGTATATATTGTGTGTGGCAGAAATCCCAAGTTCTAGATCAAAAAGATGACGGAATTTGTGAGTGCTCGATCCCTGGAGGTTTTCAAGAAGAGGCTGGACAGCCATTTGTTCAGAATGTTACAGGGTCTCCTGCTCAAGCATATTTGGGCTGGGGAATTCTGGGAGTTGAAGTCCACATATCTTAAGATCGCCAACCACTCCTCCATGGTCTGGAGGAGAATCCCACCCTGTTTCTGGCTTTTGTGGCACAGTGGGGGGGGGGGCAAAGAGGGGATGGTTCTACACTTTGCTGGCCATTTCTGCAAAGGCCCACAAGTTGGGGACCCCTGGTCTGCAGAAAGGAAGTCCTGTTTTGTGAGGATGCTCCAGACAGCCAGACTAACCAAGACACCCTCTCCCTCCCACAAAAATTAAATAAGTAATGAAGATGATGATGTCAGTTACCTGGGCAAAGGCATTCTGGAACACCACACTCCTGGAAGCCAGCTGATCAATGTTGGGTGATCTCACCAGGGAGTCCCCGTAAGACCCCAAGGCGGGGCGCAAGTCGTCCGCAATCAGGAAGAGAACATTTAAGCCTTGATTATAGACATCACGAAGAGGCCTGGGAGCACCATCCACGCATCCTGATTGGGGAAGAAGGAACATGGTGGAATGGAGAAGCAGATCGTTTTAAGCTTGCTAGCTCTCCTTTTTAAAAGAAAAAAAAGATAGCAGTGGTTCAATACGGTACACCGGATACTTTCAAAGATTAATTCCCTGCTAAACTTCAGTTAGCAGATTTTATGAACGGCAAAACTAAAAACGGACTTCAAATTGGGATAATGTGCAGAGTTAATCGGATTGGATTTTGATATTTTAATCATCTCATCTAATTGCCCCACGGAAGGGAAGGGAAAACTATTGAGAAGGGAAGGGAAGGGAAAGGAGAAGGGGAAGGGGAAAGGAAAGGAAAAGAAAGGAAAGACTACTGAGAAGACAGGAGAGGGTAATAATAATAATAATTCCCCAAAATCTCCACTTCTGCTTTAGAGACACTGCAAGAGCATTTAACGTAGGGAAATTTTTAGCAGTTCCTGTACATTTCCTGGTTTAAATGAACAGTGGTTTCATCATGTTATTATGAATCATCCTCACATTTTTAAGCATCCTTGTGGGAGGAGAGAGAATTTCATAAACACATTTATTAAAAGTATAACGGTAACAGAAGACCACTGGAAAAAAAATTCTGAAGGTCGGGGGCTTTGAACACTGAAATGGAACAACAACAAAAAGATTAATTTGGCTTTAATAGCTGACAAAAAGAGCTATTTAGCTGCGGTTGAGACCAGCTGTTCACAGCCACCCACACAGGTTAAATTGCTAGTCTGCTTCTGGATGCAGGAGGACTTGGGTTCAAGGCTCACTCAACCACAAAGCCAATGAATTGAATTTGGATCTGTCACTTATGCCTCCTTGCAGAGCTGCTGTGTGCTTATAAAACACAATAAAAGAAAGAATCTGATGGGCTTTCAAAATGTCAACAGAAGAGAATATTTGCAGCTCAGGGTCGAAATGGGGGGTCCTTGGTGCTCTCTGAGCTTGGTGGTTTTATTGCAGGAGGTTTCATGAAGGTAACATGATCAGCATTCATGCGTTTGGGGTTTGCTCTCTGTTTAAGACCAACCTTTCGGACCTCAGGGACCACTAAATTTATAATTGCAAATCCCGTGGACCGCTAATATGATTTTTTAAAAAGATAAATAGTATTTAGTGCAATATAAGTAGTCCACAAACCACTGGACACATCCTCTCCGATAGCCAGAATACAGATAAACAGGGATTAACCCCAGACAAACAATCAAACAAAAAACAATCCCCCTAATCAAGGGGAAGGAACAGGGAGAACATTTGTATCTCCAACAACACCGGCAAAGGAAGCTACTGTGTATAAACAGAGATCAAACCCCACACACCTAATAGCACTGATGAGGTTGCCTATTTGGGTAATGAAACATCTGCAAGAAAACAGGTGACCTCAACAGCATAAGGAGGACTCCGCTTCCAAAATAAGAAGGGCGACTGAGGTGATATTCTGAAATAAGACATGAAGCAAACAGGCTGGAAACTGAACCATCCCCAGCAATCTTCTTCATCACCATGAGTTGGAAGGGACCTTGGAGGTCTTCTAGTCCAACCCCCTGCTCAAGCAGGAGACCCTTATCTAAACCATTTCTTTCCAGGTCACGGTACACACACCCCATCATCCCCTCCCCTAATTTTGCCCAGGGGGGGGCTCCAGGTAAGAGCGGAAGGTTTTCTAGCCCCCCCTCCCTCTTTCTTCCTCTCCCCCTCCCGCATTGCATCTCCCACCCACCCCCGGACTCCCGTTTGCAGAGAGGGTGGCTCTGAACCTCCCCTCGGGGGTCGCCCACGCCCGTGGGTGCACAGGCTTCCCACCCACCCGGACGGATCCGGGAGCGCCTCACCTGCGCCCATCCCCAGCCAGAGCCAGAAGGCGCCCAGGAACCCGAGCGACGCCGCTCGCAGGAGCCCCGACGGTGCCATAGCCTCGCCGGGGAAGGTCTTCTTTCATCGCCCAGCCAGGCTCCGGAGGAGGAGGAGGAGGAAGCGGCGGCGGGCAGGGCTTCCCAAGCGCCACCCCAGCCACGGGGCGGCGGCTGAGGCTGCAAAGGGAGCCGAGCTGGCTGCGCGCACGAAGCTTGCAGATGATGCGCGCCCAGCTTGGCTCTGCAACCTTTCGTGGGAACCGCGTCCCAAGCCAACGCGCGTCTGCCTCGCCTTCTTCTTCTTCCCCTCTTGTGGACGACTCTTAGACCCGCCTTAGGAAAGAGTCCCCGCCGCCCCGGGTCCCTTATTGGTTCCCCCCCCCCCCATTCATCCCAATGCATTGGGCGCGGAGGTTTTGCTCCAGGTTTCTGGGCTTTTTACAGCTCCCGTCTTTTGCATCGGCTTGTTTCTTCTTTTTGCTCGTTTTCTTGCAGACATTTCATTACCAAACTAGGTAACAGCATCAGGGCTGGAAGGGAGTGAGGTTCGCAGGGAGGAGGAGGAGGAGGCCGACTGTGGGGTTCTTGGTGCTCGCTGAGCTTGCTAAGTTTCTTGCAGATCTTTCATCACCCAACTAGGCAACATTCATGTTCATGCATTTTAAGTTTCCTCTCTGTTCAAGACTAAGAACACATCCTCTCCGGTAGCCAGAATCCAGATGAGCAGGGATTAACCCCAGACAAAGAATACAGCAGAAAAGTAATCAAGGGATTATTACCAGGAAGAACAATCCTATCTCCACCAACACTGGCAATCCCCCCGATCGAGTAAGTTTAGGCATTATGGTTTCCAATAAAGGAGAATATTTGTGTTCTCAGAGTTGAAAGGAGGGGGGGTCCCTCCTCGGTGGCCTCTCAGCTTGCTTGTTTCCTTGCAAATCTCTTCTGTCGGTCCTTCTGCCAGAGATCACCAGGTGGCACTCATCCCCCAAGAACCAGCCCTGCTGAGCAGTTTGTTCAGAAGTATTGGGACTCATAAAGTGTTAGCATTTGATGGGTTCCCTGAATTTGCCCCCCAAAATCAGTAAAAGCACGCACAGAAACCCTGATACTTATAGCTGTCATGGGCAAGTTAAAATAAATAAATAAATGAGAGCATTTAAAAGGCAGATAAAACGCACAGGTTTGCATAAGACAGAAAAGTCAGCGCATAAATGCAATCAACTCACTCGAACCAGATGAAATCAGGGTCTTTCCTCCGTGGCAGCCCCGTTGTCTGGATCTGCCCCGACCATGTTCTGCAATCTGATTATTTTATTTCCCTGGTGCTTTCATAGCCGCCTTGCCATTCCAGGAGTTCAATGCGTTATCAGTCCTCTTTCTTTTAATTTCTACGCTTCCCCTCTGCAATGAATCAAATGCATTCCTCCTCTGCTGCCCCGCATTAAATAGCATCCCTACAGACACGTGTTTAGCCACTTGTCAGAATCTGCCCTTAAATCCATCCTGGCACAGAATGCAGCCATCCCTTCAACGCCCATAAAAGGGCACGGCTTCGCTGCGTGTGACGTCACGCCCTTAGCGCGAGAGGGCGGGGCGCGAAGGCGCGGAAGGAAAGACTCGATGCTTCAGAGGTCGGGGTGGGCGGGGCCTGCCGTTTGTTCGGAGGTCCTCCGCGCGTGCGCGGCGCAGCCACGGCGCAACCGCAGTGCGGCCCTTCGGCGGAGTCGAGGGGAAGCGTCTGATGGTCGGTGGAGCTGAGGCGGGAGCCGGGTTTTTTTCTCCCTCCTTCGCCGGGAGGCTTCGGGCCAGAGCCGCCATGTGGCCGTGGTGACCTAGCGGCGAGGGCGGGAGGAGGAGCGCCATGAACCTCAGGGGCCTGTTTCAAGATTTCAATCCGAGGTGAGGGGAGGCCGGAAATGGGCGGGGCCTGGCGGAAGGGGCGGGGCCGGCGAGGAGTGGGGGATGGGTGGAAAAGCGACCTTGCAGTGCATCACTGGATTTGGGGCTGGGGTGGGTGGGAGAGATGCATCCCATTGGGGAAGGTCTGGATTATAATTCCCATAAGGCACAGCCAGTATTGGGGGGGAGATCCATCCCATTGGGGTAGGTCTGGATTATAATCCCCATAAAGCACAGCCAGTATTGGGGGGGGGGAGATCCATCCCATTGGGGTAGGTCTGGATTATAATCCCCATAAGGCACAGCCAGTATTTTTTCTTACCTATTGGGATATAGAATATGCGGATAGCACCAAGAAAATCATTTCAAAATAACACCCTGTGTTAAAAATTATTTTAAAGCATGATTCTGGTGTCCGAGTACTAACAGGAATTTTGGTGATGCTTGTAGAATACTCAATCTCAAATGTTGAGATTGCCCTTTTTTTTAGAGTAAAACTGTAGTTTCAACAAGTAGTTGTAGAGCTTCACACTGAGTCCTTGGGATAGAAGAAACAGTGTAAATAAAATAATTGAAAGGAAGGAGCTTTCAGGGCTGGTGGTTTCCCCCTTTTTTAGTTTTTCACACTGAAGAGCATTTCTGCTTTATGCCTTCTGAAGAAAGGAAACAACCTTTTCTCATAAAGGGAATATTGTAAAAACCTCAGTTTCTTTTTCTCTTTACATCCTGCACACCTTCCCTCCTCCTTCATTTTCACCCATTAAGAGTCATTCCTGGCCTCTGCAGCTTTCTAAAGGAAAAGAAAAAAAGAACAGGCTGTTGTATTAAAGCTGCTTTTTACACAACGGCTCACGGAATACAAATTGAGCCTTCGGAGTTGGCTTGGCCCGATTAAACAGTGGGGAAAGTTTCCCAGTTGTGTCACTGCCACAGCTCTGTGGGACCCGAACAAGGCGGAGGGGCCCCCCGTCAATGCCAATTATTGCTTTTCAAGTAGGAAGATTTTCTCTTTTTTTAATTTAATTTTATTTAAACCCTGATTTTATTTTGATCCTATGACTATCACTTAAGTGTTGTATCTTAAGATTTATGATGAATTTATTTTTATGATGACTATGGTCATGATTTATCACTTATAAGCTTTTATGTACAATGGAAGTTTATGCGCCAAAGACAAATTTCTTGTGTGTCAAGTCACAGTTGGCCAATAAAGAACATTCTATTCCATTCCATTCATTTTCTATATTCTAGTCCAGTGTTTCTCAACCTTGGCAACTTGAAGGTGTCAGGACTTCAACTCCCAGTCCGGACATCTTCAAGTTGCCAAGGTTGAGAAACACTGTTCTAGTCTAGCCTAGTCTACTCTAAATTCCCCATTCTATTCATTTTCTTATTCTATTTTATTCTAGTCCCTCTTCTATTCTACTCTATTCTTATTTTTATTATACAATGGCACAAAAGGACAGAGAAGCGTCTTAGCAATGCTTGCTCCGTTTCTCATGTGCACAGAATTTCTTGAGCTCTTTGAGAGAGTGACATTCTGGCTACGGAAATCCCTTGAAGTTCAAATCTTTATTGTCGGCGCACAACATATGTACAATGAGATTGGTTGAGCTCCCTCAGTGCAACACCCCCCCCAACACAATACAATTCACAGTGAAGAGGGGAAAAACACCCTAACCCAATAAATCATATTAACAAATACCCAGTCCTGTTGCACCAGTGTGAGCACGTTGTTACACGTTGCACCAGCCCTGCAAGTCCATGGTACTAAGTAGTTATGTAGGAGGGATGCAAATAATTCACCTTCCTCATCATAGAGCATATCTTTAATTTAAAGACTTTTAATGGATCACATGGCTGTGAAAAAGCATCTGAAATGCTGTTTTTAATTACTTTTAAAGACTTAATGACTTTTAAAGACTTGTAATGGATCACATGCTTGATTGTTTGTCTGGGGTTAATCTTTGCTTATCTGGATTCTGGTTACTGGAGAGGATGTGTTCTAGTTTTACGCAGACTGCAAACCCCAAATGCAGGAACACTGATCATGTTACCTAGTTGGCTCATGAAACATCTGCAAGAAAACCACCAAGCTCAGTGAACACCCAGGGCTCCACCTCTTTGCCCTACGACCATCCATTGACCCTTCCCAAGCTTCCTTCCACTCTCCAGCAGTGGTGTTTCTGCCGATGACACATCTGGCCCTCCCCCAAAATTACCATCCTGCTTTATTGCCCTCGAAGAACATCTCCAGGTTTACTCATCGTCCTCCAGACATGAAGCCATCCAGAAGCCTCCCATTCTTGGCTTGTATGAAAGTAAAATAAATACATATATCAGGCCTGGAAGCCACTTTTCCATTGGCCCCATTTATTGCTGTGGGAAACTGGGAGGGGGGATTATAAGGAGTATGGGAGAAATATAGTCAAAATAGCATTCCTTTCTCAGAGAGTCAAGGACGTCTTGCCCTGCACCTGGAGGGGTGTGACTGGACGGCATCTCCGGTTGGAACGGTGCCCGATCGGGCCATGGGATGGACATGTGGGTGCTGGGCAGGGACATGGACTTTCTTTTGGGTGAGGAAAACCTGCAGCCTTTCGGATTCGGGTTTTCCCAGATGTGCCAATATGACGCCTGTAATAAAATGGAACTTTGAGGAACCTCGAGCCTCGGAGTCTTTGTTTTTTGGGGGTGTCACTTGGGAACCTGACAACATAATTGCAAGAGAGGCAGCGATAACCTGAAAGTCCCTTCCCTTACAGTCAGAGCAAACCATTGCAAGAATCCATCACCCAAGCGGCAAATATTTCCTATCCCTTCGCTGTCACGCTGTCGCCCTTGCAGTCCTCTTGCTCTTGTTCTGCGCACATCTGTAAGCGGGGCCCAATCGGAGCTGTCTGCCTGGGCTCCCTCGCTCATAATCTTCCCTTCCTTTGTGTTGACTGAATAATGACAGTTTGGAGGCAGCTGCTGTGGTGTGAGTCAGCTTCCTGATGGGAGGCATTGGAAGGAAGCCCGTTGTGTTCCCTGCTAATGAGATTTTCTTCATTGTTTTGCCAAACGGAGAGGAAGGCAAGAGTTTTACCACCGTTTCTTTCTTTCACCGTCGACCATTGCAGCGTCCGCATGGGCACACAATCAAAATTCAGCTGCTTGGCACCTGGTTTCATACTTACGACCGTTGCTGTGTCCCGGGGTCAGCTGATCCCCCTTTTGCGACCTTCCAGCGAGCAAAATCAGTGGGGGAATCCAGATCCACTTAACAACGGTGTTTCTAACTTAAGAGCTGCAGGCATTCACAGAACAACTTCTGACATAATAGATTTTAACCCCTGGGATCTTGGGTAGGATCCCACAGAGGCCGTTGGCAGAGCCGAGGGCTCCATTTGGGTGTCTCATGAAATAATGGCTGCCCTTGACTTACGACCACAGTCGTTAACATAGAAAACGAATCGGGCATGGAGGCAGTAGCTGAATTCACCCGATGTTTTAAGACAGTGCTTGGATTCCCGTTGCAGGCTGAATAAGTCCGTTTCCATTTAGGCCGCAGCGTCAATCTAGTCCATCTCTTTATTTATGACTGTAACCATGTGGCTTGTATCTTTACAATTTATATTGTTTTATTTGTTTCCTGGTACTATTTGATTGCTTATTAGTAACCTTGATGATCACTAAGCGTTGTGTCTTATGGTTCTTGATGAAGGTATTCTATTTTATTTTTCTTTATGTACACTGAGAGCATCTGCACCAAAGACAAATCCCTTGTGTCTCCAACCACACTTGGTTGTATAAATAAAGAATTCTATTCTATTCTATTTGCTCGGGAATTGAAGTCCAGATACCTTTAAATGGTTCCACCACAAATCCGCGGTAGACTAAAGCGCGCTCGACGAAAGCGCGTACGTGACATCATCACAGCGCGATGAAAACGGCA